AAGGAGGCCACTGGTGAAGAATGAACTCATGCTGCTGGTTCTTCTTTGTGACAACTTGTAAGTCATCAAGGACATCTTTTATTAGATGTTAGCAAGACGATCCCTAGAATGGTGGTTCTGGTGGTGTGGTTCCTAGCCAGCAGCATCAGTATCACTCACTCACTGCCATTGAGTCCGTCCTGACTCATGGCGACACCACAGGACGGGGGGGAACTGCCCCTGCAGGTTTCCCAGACCCCAGACTGCAATTCTTTGAGTAGAGAGCCTCATCTTTCTTCTGTGGAACAGCTGGTGGTTTTGAACTGCTAACATCATAGTTATTAGCCCATTACATAACCCATTAGGCCACCAGGGCTCCTCAGTCCCACCTAAAACCCAAACCAAACTCTTTGCCCTTGAGTCAATGCTGACTTATAGAGACCTCCTGTGGGTTTCCTGGGAGTAGAAAGGCCAGTCTTTCTCTCTCAGAGGCTGGTGGTGGTTTCGAACTGCTGATCACAGCCCAACTGCAGATCACAGCCCAACGGGTAACCACTATACCAGAAATGCAAATTTTCTGGCTTCACCCCAGATACCCCAAATCAGAAACTTGGGGTTGAAGATGTGGGTGGGGGGATGCGATGTTTGTAACACGTCCCTTGGCGAATATGCTTCATTGCTCTAGGATATCTAAGAACATATTTACTGAAACCCTGCCAATATTTTCAAGATGCTTTCTTTTTCAAAGTATCAGTTAGCTCTCTCACCTTTGGAAATTATAAGATTAGGAAAAGATGACAGATGACACGGACTGTTTAAATCCACCTTTTTACTCTGAAGAGAATACTATACTTTAAAAAATAATTCTGGGTCTAGCATTTTGAAGTACAGTGCATATTTCTGCACAGGAGAAGGACAGGGGCCTGCTTTATGTACGTGAAACATTTCCTTCCAGACTGGGATTCCTGCAGCCCTTCCCAGCTGGTCGACACGTGCCATACAATTCGATCTATTCTGAATTTGTCTGTCATTTGACTCATCTGCATAGCTTATTGTGGCAAAATGTCATCTTGACCAAAGGGAAATTCTTCTTCTTTTTTAAATTTCAGAAAAGAGATCAAAGACTACAGCACAGACTTTAAACAGACTGTATTATGCTATGCATATGTTGAAAAATATCTGATTTGTTTGTTTGTATCTAAGTATTTTGTTCATTTATGTCTCTGGAAAGGCAGGCAAAGTCTTTCCTGAAAACCTGGTAGAAGGAGTATGTTTCACTTTTTAAGAAACTGCCAAATTGTTAACCAGAGTGGTTGGACCATTTTATATTCACAGTAGCAATGTATGGAGTTCAAGTTGCTTGACATCCTCGCCAGCGCTTCACATGGTTAACATTTTTCATCTTACCCATTGATGTGTGTATGGACATGCATTTCCCTAATGACAGATGATGCAGAAAATCTTTTCATGTGTTAATTTGACATTTGTATATCTTCTGATCTGGTCTTTCCACCCTTTCATTGAAAAAGAAATGAAAGCTTATGTCCATGCAAAGACTTGTAAAGGGAATGTTTATAGAAGCTTTATTTTTAATAGCCCCAACCTGGAAAAAAGCCAAGTAGTGACTATTAGAAATGAATATTATATATAACTCTAGAAATACAGGTAATCTGCAGTGACATCAGATCCATGTTTGCCTGGAAGGTGAGATTTGGGGAGGTGAGGGAAAGATTAGAAAGGGGCAGGAGGACTCTTTGGGGCATGATGGATGTCACCATCGTGACTGCGTTTCATGAGTGTGTACCTGTGCCAACACATCAGACTGTACACTCTCAGTGTGTGCCAGTTATGCCAAACCCATCGCCCTTGGGGGGATGCTAACTCCTGGTGACCCATACGGCGCATGGAGCAGGACGGAGGCTTTCCTGTCTGTCCTCATGGAGGCCAGTTCACAGGCCTTTCTCTTATGGCATGACTGGAGGGGTTTGAACCACCAAACCCACAAATTGTGCCACCCAGATTTTAATTCTCTTTTGTTGTATCTGATAAAGAAGGAGAAAACACATTATTCAGCAAAGCCTGTTGTGTGTGAGTGATTAGCTTTGTACCTTCCCTTGTGAGGAGCCTGAAACAGAATCTCCAGCAACTTCAACCCCAGTCTTCTGAGTACTACTGAGGTGAGGAGGAGGAGGAGAAGGAGAAGAAAAAGAGGAAGAGAAGAAAGAAGAGGAAGAGGAGGAGGAGGAGGAAGGGGAAAGAACAAGAACATTAAAAACTATCTCAAGCTAAATGTTTCCTCCCCGCTCCCACTACCATGACTCGAATTCGATCTTGCAAGACTGGCTAGACCAGAGGAGGTACACTGGTACAGATAGGAACTGAAAATACAGGGAATCCAGGGCGGATGAGCCCTATAGGACCAGTGGTGTGAGTGGCAAAACAGGGAGGGTAAAGGGAGAATGGGTAGGAAAGAGGGAACCGATTACATGGAACTATATGTGTGACCTCCTCCCTGGGGGACAGACAACCGAAAAGTGGATGAAGGGAGACGTCGGACAGGGCAAGATATGACAAAATACCCATTTATAAACTATCAAGGGCTCATGCGGGAGGGGGAGTGGGGAGGGAGGGGAAAAATGAGGACCTAATGTCAGGGGTTTAAATGGAGAGAAAATGTTTTGAGAAACGATGTACAAATGCGCTTTACACAATTGATGTGTGTATGGATTGGGATAGCAGTTGTATGAGCCCCTAATAAAATGTAAAAAAAAACCCAACTATCTCAAGCAAGTGGCAAAAAACATCTTATTTTTCTCCAAGAGTAGAGGCCTCTACTGGATATCGTAGTAAAGAATGATAATATGTTATGAAGTCCTTCCACGACATTTGGTAATTAGTGCCAGAAACGTTTTATTACCAAAACCCAAACCAACCAAACAAAAAAAACTTCACAAGAACTCAAAATCCAGAATAATAAGGTATTAACTCTTGATTATTAAGAATTGGGTAAAACTTCAACAAAACCCAAAGCTGGATACAATTTGATTGGAAATTCAAAACCAGCTCCCCTTTCACAGAAAGCTTGGAAGACAAATTGTGGCCTAACTCACATTGTCAATAAAATTCATACCAAACACGGCAGGCTAAGAGAAGGGCTCTTACAGCAGCAAGACCTCTCTTTGTGACAAACCACTAAGGAAAGAAACTGCTTCCAAAGTTGTAAGTTACGTATTCATTTCAACTTATAGAGGCCAATTTGTTTGTGTTAAGGAGTTAACATGCTAGGTTTGGGAGAAAGATGAGGCTTTCTAGTTCCTTAAAGAGTTAGTCGAGGAAACCCAGAGGGACAGGTCTACCCTGTCCTATGGGCTGGCTAGAGTGAGTGAGTGAACGTTCTAGGTGTTATACAAATATTACTGAACGCTGAGTACCCCTCCAATAAGTGGTCGAAGGAACTCAAAACCATGTCTAATGCTAAAACTCCTGCGTTTTCTCACACTCTCTCCCTCCTCCTCTGGCTGTAACCACTTCTTGGCATTAACTCCCTGCTGGTTCTCAGCTGGCCACCACAGAGTGCACCTGCTCCGAAGGCCCGTCAGGCCCTGCTTTCCCCGGGGCTCGGCTGCTGTGCACGGACCCGGGGACCCACCAGGGGTCACTGCAGCCTCAGTGCTATGGTGCCCGCTGGTCCTGAACGCGGTCTGCCCGGCGGAGGGCTTGGGGCCAGGGTGTCCAACGCCAGGGTCCGACTGTAATTGCACCCTCTGCCCTTGCAGAGCCAGCCTCCCGTCTCCCCGGGAAACCGACCCGGCGTGCAGGGTCACAGGCCCGCACCGTCCCGC